AAATTTTTTTTTTTGCCACTAAACCGTGCGGTAATTTTGACCTTCACCGACTGCAGTCCCGCTTTGTCTACCGGTAGTCTAGCGTTCTCAGAAAGATACGTGTAATCAACGCGCTGAGATAAAATCGAGCTTACAAAATCCTACCGTTAATTAAACAACCGCAAGAGTAGGAGCATTATCAGAAGAAAATCGAAACCGCGCGCACAGCTTACGGCAAAGTTTATTTCGCGTAGCGAAAACCGATTACTCCGATTACTCTCCGCTTGTCCCTTCGTTTTTTTGATTTGCCCTACGTGTGCAAGAGTAATAGAACTCTTGCGTGTCGGTGTCGGGCGAGAAATCCGAGAACTCGGTCGAAAAACCCATCGGTTTCAATCCCTTTGCGCGGTGCGTTATAAACCCTCCTCTTATCAGCGTGTTGGAGTGCAAATATCGATCGGCGTTCGCCGGTCGTACCGGACCGTAACACTCGCGACATCGCCGTATACACAACGCGATGCGGATGTTTCTCCTAAACGCCGTACGTACACTCGGTAAAACGGTACTTCCGCCTTCGCGCGAGGGCAAAAGATCGACTCTTCCGTCTTCCGATTGAACCCATACAGCCGCGGAGAGAAGAGGGAGAGACTTGGATCGAACGAGCAGCGGTCAACATTCGCCGTCAAAACTTGCTCTCATCTATCGACGATCCCGTTGATATAAGTCTTTGTGTGTGTGCGTGTGTGTGTGTGTGTGTACGTGCAATATAAACCAAGATCCTCTGTCCCACATTTAACGTCGAGTTTAACAATAGCCCGACTGCGGTTGGTGTGCAGCAACGCGACAAACCGAATTATGACACATGCATGACAATTGTATTCAGTGTCATTATCGCAGTTAAAAGTTCGCATAGTCGTCATCGTGTTTTTTTTTTTTTTTTTTTTTTTTTTACGTCGAATGTACAATCAAATCGCGACGTTAATCCGAGATTGGATGATTTTAGATTTCGCGACTCTGTCGGGTGCATTTTAATGTCACTCATCGTCGCGGCCATGTTTTAAAAGTATAATCACGCGTCGCGGGCATTTAGCGTTCCAGTCCGTGACAGTGTGCGAAATTCGATTTCGAACGGTAGCGCTTACGGGTATGACGATGTCTTCAGAATTTTGTGGCCGCGCCTAGAAACATTCGCCGTGCATTTGACGCCGCGCGAATTACCTGACATTCGGTTTTTCTCGAATAATGCAGCGCGTCGTCATCGACTCGAGAGAAAGACGGTCGCACGGCCGCGTTTCAAGCTTCGTAATCACACGATCCGGCATTCAAGATGCGATTCAACTGTCGGAGTCTCGGAGATAATGCGTCGGCGACCTAACGCGACCGTTCATCAATACAGTCGAGATTCGCACGGCCGCGTTTAATAAAAATTCATTTGCACATTCAGCGGCAGATGCCAAATTCACGCTTCTGAGGTCTCCCACAACACAAGACTATCGCGTGTATTTAATAAAAATATATACTTTAATGTAAAAAAATATAAATATATATATTTTGGAATTATGTATTTTCTTGTCTCGAAAGAGAGAGAAAACAAGCCCTTTCCTTATATTCTTCTCGCTTACTTTATGCTTATATTTTACACACACACACATGCACGCTATTATTTATATTTAAACTAGTATGCACTAGAGGTGCAAGAAAGTGCAACTAAGAGGCGAACAAATAATTACACAATCTCGTTTACTCGATCAACATGTAAAATATTAACGAGACGCATTAATAAATAATTATCCAACACATTCATAGATTGCTATTACACGATAATGCATTGGGGGTAATATTGGAGACAGAAATAACTAATCGGGACAACAATATGTGACTGAAAAACGCACGCACGCGGAGAACGAATCGATTATTAAAGAAGGGACGTTGCACGCGAAGGGGCGAAAGGGATTGTTATTGTGCCCGACTATACCTACACGTTGACGTTGAGCAGGTCCAGCGCGTCGAAACGCTCCAGGTGCAGCGTTTGGGGTGACTCGTGCGACCCTACCGGTGATGAATCGGCGGCGAGAAGCGCCGACAAGGACGGAAGATGCGTTGGCCACATGCACTAAATCACTAATTGCCACAATCTCTGAGCGAGAAAGAAAATTCTCCGATTCTCGCGTAAAAAAGAAAAGAAACAAACAGGCAGACACTCTCCGATTTTCACTGTTCTTTGTCGAAAAGAACGAGGAAAACGTGCGCGTTCGCTCAGCCGTCACCGGCACGCGGCACGCGACGCCACAACGTGCGAGTTCTGTGAAACGCGCCTGAGAACTCACCCCTGCTCGACATTCAGCTACATTCACCCTTCTCTGCGTAGCCACGCGCGCTTGCGCGAGCGGCGCCCCTCGCTCCTTTCTTCTGCTCGCGCTAACGAGCGCTGTGATTGGCAGACAAAAATGTCAGCGGAATCAAACGTTGCGTGTTGTGAAGTTCGTTTTCCTTGAGAATTGAGATTATACAAAGTTGCATTACCCATAAATAATTATCAAATGTTTTTGCACGACTATATTTCTACTCGTGCTGGCTTTTCTTCAAAATTTTTATTCTTTCTTTGCGTCGCAACAGAACCGTAATTGAGAAACGACGTTACTTATATCGATTACAAAAGATTACATAAACAGCTTCCTTCTGTTGTATTTCCAAACACTACGACGCTGTTATTTAATTGAAAATAAACCCAGCCGCACGGTAAGAACGCGTTTCTACTTGGATCTATGCTGCCATCTAGGAAAATTTGGTCGTACCGTAAAGAGCTGAACAAATATCTCACTTAGAAGGAAAAACTAATTCTTATTTATCTATCAATAGTACAATCCTACTGAATTAAATGTCTAGTCTCGTTTGATAATCACTTCCGCGATATGCAAACAAACTGCATCGGTATTTTATCATCCGTCCTCTTTAGCTTTTAAAATTTATCATCGCACGATTTATCTTCCAATTTTTATATATAGCGGAGAGATGTTTTGATAAATGTTTAATTATTAAAAGTTTACATAAAATTATTACTCTTTGTATAAAGTTATTTGTTGTTATCTTTGCTTGTTATCTTTGACGATTGCGTAATCGTTGTCAACAGTATAAAATACTACCATGATCAAAAAATAACCGGAATTTATTCATAAAAAGAAAAGTATATGTTTATTCTTCAAAATTCAAGTTGTCCCCTTCAAAGTAGTCCTCGTCGGCTGCGATGCACTTGTGCCAGCGTTTGATCCACCCCTCGAAGCTTTTCTGGAAGTTGGTTTTTGGTATAGCCATTAGTGCCTCCAGCGATTTTAGCTTTA